CGAAGGTGTTTTAGTCGGAAGGGCCGCCTGAAAGTTTGATGACAGTTAAGGACGAAAACACTGCTCCGCCTGCATGTCGATGGACCAGAGATACCGGCATGGTGGACTCCAATATGCCTGCCTTTTTCAGCTAAGCACACCGCAAGAAGGTACGATCTGAGATATGATCGAGAATTCAACTGCACATTGGGCTAAATGCTGCCTGCCCGTCTGGTGGCAGTCTTGCGTTCCGCGTCGGTGATCAGGAAAATCCAGAATGCAAGTACGAAATCTCTGTCCCGAATTTGGGTCAAATTGGAGAAGGCTACTGTGTTACAGAACCTTATGGGTGACTCACCATGCGCACAATGTGTTTGCCTACGCAACGCACTAAGTGTCAGTTAAATTAGGAACAAAGACGCTCCATTTCGGTCGTTCGCACACCTCGCGTCAATAGCACTCTGCGAGCCAAATAAGGAAACGCGCAGTTTCATCTACCACGTGCAACGACGCAGTTGAGAAGACTCGATTTGCATTATTTTTCATCCACGTAAGATGCGCTACTGAAAAGCTTAGTGCTCGCTAATTGATTTAGAACAAGCGCAGGCGTCAAAGTCTATAGATGATAAGTGTGTGTGTGTGGTTGTCTGCTGAGCTCTGTTGATTTGCCGCGCGAAACCAAAGTGGTTCACTGCTAGATATTTTCAGCAGGAGTTAGACTTGATGCACTAGCTGCGGCTCAGTCTTCTCCACCCGCGCCCTACCGACAGTGACTGACAGCACGACGTGAAAACCCAAGAGTACAGTGCGTGACCTATCTCATGAAATGTTGGCTGAAATTCTGAAATGCGTTTTCGATTAGGAAGGATTACTTGGTTGCGGTTGTAATACTGATTATCTTGTGACATAATCTTATAACATTTCGGACTCGGCAGGATGTCAACTTGTGAATACACTGCTTTTCAATCTCCTGTAGAAAGCGTGATCGGTAAAAAAAATGACTACTTAAGTAGCATTCATTTTTCCCATTGATTTTCGATGGTCTTGGAAATTCAAATTTATTTTATAGAAACCACAAACAAAAATATGCTGTCTTTTAGTCAATGAATAGAGAATCACGTCTTCTTTATATTTTATACTTAAGGAAGGAATATAATTAGGTTTTAAAAAAGTTTTCTAATTGCCGAAAAATTTGGAGCCTGATCATTCGTTGCGTTAGCGCTTAGTGATTACACTCTAGCATGCGTTCCGCGTAAAGAAAATCCCATATTTTTCTATGTCATTAAAGAGATATCATACAGGGTCCATAAAATTCTGCCATGGATGCGGACCATGTTGTAGATTTCATGAGGAGCAGTGGTAAACGGTCTTAAAAAGTCTCATAATTGGAAACTTTTTTAAAACCTAATTATATTCCTTCCTTAAGTATAAAATATAAAGAAGACGTGATTCTCTATTCATTGACTAAAAGAAAGCATATTTTTGTTTGTGGTTTCTATAAAATAAATTTGAATTTCCAAGACCATCGAAAATCAATGGGAAAAATGAATGCTACTTAAGTAGTCATTTTTTTCCAAGCACGCTTTCTACAGGAAATTGAAAACAAATGCATTTTAAAGCCGACATCCTGCCGAGTCCAAAATGTTATAAGAGTATGCCTTAGGATAATCAGTATCACAACCGCGACCAAGTAATCCTTCCTAATCGAAAACGCATTTCAGAATTTCAGCCAACATTTCATGAGATAGGTCACGCACTGTATTTGAAAATATCCGAGGACGCGTTCTCATGTCACTCCTGCAGTAGCCGGTACAAGTTGAACATAACGGACCTAAAACTTCGATTACTTCTGTTAGCACTAGATAAAAAGAAACAAAACAACTGTGCGTGTGCGCGTACTTTGATGCATTTTTCTTGATTGTTTTCGTGTGTGTGTGTGTGTGCAACAGGCGATAATCTGACATTTACGCACCAGACGATGATAGAGTAAGGCTTTTGGGTGTGCAAGAGAAAAAACTTTGCAGTCTGGACTGATATTCCGGGAAGGGTTTGGTTCTGCACCATTTCGTGTGCACGTGTGTGTATTTTGCCCCAAAACAGGCCACGTGGGAAATGTACTGGACCAACACAGGAACCAGCTGGGAGTCCGGTGGGCGCGTTGCGAGCACATAGGACACGTCCGTCAATTTCAGACTATGAATATCAGGATGAGACAGGAGTTATGTCAGACGATCTGACAATCCAACAGCTACCGAGCGCGTCCTGTTGTGTAAAGTTTCTTTCATTCAGTTGAACAAACCGCTGGTTCAAGAATGATGAACAGGTAGGTAAAGGCAAGACAATTTGGCACCTCGGCACAGCACCCCATTCTGAGGGCGGCGGAAACGACGCCGAGGGATGTTTACAAGCCTAAACGAAATGAATGACCAGACGATTAGGAAAGTGTACATGACGACCACTGCGGGTGATATGTACAGGGTCCGTAGAAGAGTGGATATGTCCTGTAGCGAGAGTGATGGAGTTAGAGGTGGCAGTTGGGGGTAGCGGACAGGCGGGGGGGGGGAGGGGAAATACGGGACGGTGGAATAGACGCTGAAGGTGAGGGAGTAGAAAGTAGGGGACCACAGGGCTCATCCGGAGGAGTTTCCTGGACGGCAGTTTTGAGGCGGTCCGAACTCACGACCTTCTCACGATTGTCGCCTCGGATGCGAAACGCCTTCGGTTCGCGAGTGAGCACCCGGAATTGGTCGTCAGAGGGCGGTTCCAGAGGCCAGTGGACTCGATCACATCGAGGGTTGACGTGAAAGCAAGTTGCCAAGTCCTTCTCGAGATGAGACGGAGAGGCGGAGGACCTGGGCGGAACCGGAGAATGTGTCCGCATAAGCTGCCGGAGGCGGTGCAGGCGGTTGTTGGGATCCTCAACCTAGATAAACTTACTTCACGCATGAAGGCCTGCTAAACGCAGTCGGAGGGGCATGCACGTGCTCTTGAAGCGGTCGTCGAGATGAAGTGAAAAGGGGAGAGGACGAGGCAACGCATCGGTTTCTTTCTTTGTAGTGGGTGACCTCTTCGGAAAGTCCGACGTCTTTTCGAACGGTGGCAACTGCTACTTGTCTTTTTCCGCTAGGAATTTTACCATGATTGTGTCAGTCTCCGGCTCCTTCAAAGACTATCTGCACGCCCTTCTTGTATCGATGCTGAGAGTGAACATGCTCAAGGACCTTGGAGGTATTGTTGCGGAGACGAACAAGGTAAATGCATTCAAGATGGCAAGGCTAGGTGGGCATGGCGTCGACCTGAAGGCATGCGTGGAAAGCAACCGCCACATCGAGGATATCGTTTTTCTTCCTCCCCCCTCATCGTGTAAAAACGACATGCATACACTCACGCTCCCGGTATTGATAATTCCTAGATCGGAAGCGAGTCACGAGGAATGATCACACTGACGTCCTGAGGAAAATCGTCTACCCACCTCCAAAATCGAACTATGGATCCAAAAGAAGATTGTTACGTACGTGCTATCCCATGAAATGTTTATCGAAGTCCTGAAAAACGTTTTTGATTAGCAAAGCTTACTTAAGTAGGGTTGTAATAGTAACTATATTATTATACAATACGTAGATGTCCAAGTCGCGCCTGGATGTCGGCTTTCGAACAAGCTCCTTTACGACCGTCTACAAAAAATACACTTTGTTAAAAATGACTACTTAATTAGTATGATTTTTCTGCTTGAATTTTCGATGCCCTTATAAATCCAAATATATTTTTTCCGAAAACATGCACAAAAGTGCTCTTTCTTTCATGCACTTGGCAGCACATTACGCCCTCTTTAAATTACATACCTGAATAAAAAGTAGCATTCGGTTTAAAAAAGGTGTCTGATAATTAGATTTTTAAGAGCATGAAATGTCCAATCACATGGCACCGCATCGGTAAATTTATTAATGCTGCTTATAATGTGGACAACGTGGGACACGTCCACTAAAACTTTATGAGCCCTATGTGTCTCATTCTCGAGAGCTTAAAGAGATAAATGATTTTCACCGCACGAAAAGTGTACAACTTGTAGTTCAGATGCAAGGGTAACGGCAGGTCGAGTGAAAAATTGTGCGAGAATTAAGGAAGTTTGTTAAAACCGAAAGGTACTTTTTCTTCAGGTAATTTGCTACCAGACTGGTATAAGATTGAATATTTTTGCGCATATTTCCCATAAAATATACTTGAATTTATAAGGATACGGCAAATTAAAGGGGAAATGCATGCTACTTAAGTAGCCATTGTTGCTCAATTTAGTTCACATAAGCGATCGATAAGAAGGTAGTTTGAAGGTCGGCATCCTGACGTGAATGGAATATTCTAACATTATGCGACATGATAATTAATACTACAACCCCGAAAAGGTTATCTTTTGGCATTAAAACACATTTCAGAATTTCAGTCAACGCTGCATGAGATAGCATATATACCGTATGTTCAGTTGCATTTTCTCATGTGACTGCCGAACCATTATAACAGGAAAATGCGCTTTCCAGCCAAACCGATTTATCTTCCTCTGTGGCACTGGATTGGTTAATTCACTACGCAACTTCCATCCTAACCCCAGAAGCCCTACCAAGACTTACGGGTCGTGGTCTATCCCATGAAATGCAAACCAAAATTCCGAAGTGTGTTTTCGATTGGCAAGGATTTCTGGAGTGGGCTTTTAATATTTATTGTCATGCTGTATAATGCCATAATAGTTCAAACACCCCGGGATGACGGCTTTTGAGAGCACCTTTTTGCGGCCGCCTTAACATACCGCAATCGGTAAAGAATGACCTCCTAGGTGGTATTCATTTTCTATCGATTTTTCGATGCCCTTGCAAATTTAAATATATTTTATGGAAGGCCTGTACAAAAAATATTTTTTCGTGTTTTTGTTTCTTAGTGATTTGCGTTTTATCCATATTTTCTATCCGAGCAAATGACACTTTCATTTTGAAAATTTCCGAATCTCCGAACTATTTGGAGTTCTATCTGCTATTGCATTTGTGTCTGGGATTTTCATTCTACAAGTCTCATACTTGCACTGTAAAAAAATAATACATTCCTCTACGTCTTTACGGAAATACCCTATAGGGCTCATTACATTTTGAAGCGAGTTTGGACTATAATGTATATTTATTAAGCAGAATTAATAAACGTACATATACGATGTTGTACGAATTGAGGTTTCAAGGTCTAAAAGAATCTCTTAATTACAAACTTTAAGTCGAAAGATACCCGTCGCACGGTTTTAAAATGTAAAGAACTCGAGGTTTTTAAAGGAATAGGCACAAAAGTATATTTCTCTGCAGGATTTCCATGAAATATATTTGAAACTGCAAAGGCATCGAAAAATCAATAAAAGTGCTTGCCACTTAAGTAATCCATAGATATTTTGGTAGATTTTGAAAAAGTCATGTTGACCCAACTGTGAAAAACTCGGCGCCTCGGTGGGATTCGAACCCACGCGGTAAGGGGAAGGCTTTAGTACAGCCAACGCTCTAGTCACTTGAGCTATGAGGCTCCGCCGGATGATGCGAGTTTAATCACATTTGGGTCAGGTTACCCACCCAACCTACTGAAACGTCTGGAATCCACCAAATCTGATACAGTAAGTCGACTGTCCAAGCAGGATTTCCTAAGTAATTCACCTAGAATCCGCAAGATGACTACCAGGCTCACGAAATTCATAGATATTTTGGCAGATTTTGAATATGTCATATTGACCCAACTGTGAAAATCTCGGCGCCTCGATGGGATTCGAACCACTCGCGTCGTCCGGCGAGGCCTCGTAGCTCAAGTGGTTAGAGCGTCGGCTGCACTAAAGCCTTCCCCTTACCGCATGGGTTCGAATGCCACCGAGGCGCCGAGCTTTTCACGGTTGGAGGCGGCCAAAAAGAGGTGAGCTCGAGTGCCAACACGCTGACGTGTCTGAAATATTACGAGATTATGACGCATGAGAGTAAGCATTACAACCTCACCTAAGTAGACTTTCCTAATCGAAACCGTGCAGGATGGTAGCTGGTAGCCCTGCCCACTGATTCTACAATTGTACCTACTGGCTCGATTTCGGTATCTGTGATAACGTTCTCATTATGTCTGGAGGGTGCACGCACAGAGGCCCTGTCAGGATGACTTTCTTCTTTTCTTTAACCGCCCCGAGAACGAGGCGCTGCAAGACTGTCTATATAGACTCATTGTATTGCACCCCCACACGAAAATCTTTAGTAAAAGGCGAACGATTTATCCCAAACGGATTATAATTCATCATGCTTCCCATTATGCTTCTAGTTGCATGTGCGCACAGTATTACCTGCATCAGATTAATTGCATAGGTACTATCCTAGGCGGATTGGCGCGGGTCTCCGTTTCGTCGGTTTGCCTGCATCCTTGGGTCTTTTTACTCCAGACTTCCAGTAGAGTCCGGTGCGATCGTGTACAAAAGGACATCCGACTCGCAGTTAGGGTGTCAACCGATACTCCATCCACTGCATCAGTCGTATTGACAGAGTGTTGCCCTCCACCCCCGCCTTTACGAACAGCCCGGTTGTTTTTTGTCGCAGGAGTTTGGCTGAAAACTGTGACGCCTTGTAAACACCGCCATGGCCAGTTAGCGATCCTTTCCTGCACTTCCAGTTTAAGGCCCTACGGCACCCCCCCGGGCGCCTCGACATTGCTGGGTTTGAGCTGAGCGCACTTCACCTACGACATCGCGCACTTACTACCTCTTGGATTCAGACTACAACAGCAAGGCGTCTCATACGTCAGTCAGATCCGAAGTGTTTACCTTCTTCGCATTTTTCACCTTATTTAAATTAGGTTTTCACTTTATCAGGATGGTCAATTCCAGGCATTCCCTACAAGCGCCATTTACGCCTCCACTCATTTACCCCACCCGTATAGCCCCTATTACCACCGGTCCCGTAAGTCAGGTAGCTGTGAGTTTTTGGTACCGGGAGGGCTACCAACTACCATCTAACCCGAAACCGCATTCCAGAGATTCAGTTGACATTTCATGAGATTGGTCACTGACTGTAGCTGACAAACAGTCGTCAGCAAGAAGGGGGTGGGGGTCACGCCTCAGCCGGACGTTGCCAAGGCTGCGTCAACCGCGCGTGCTTGTGGCCCGCGTAGACAGCCCGTTTCACGCCTTGCCGGACATTTAATCCAACCTTAATAACATACCAATGGTGAGTAGGGGCAAGGATGCGCGAAGAAGACTGATCCTCTCGCTCGGTCAGGTATACAGACAGTATTTCAGTTCAACCAAATCAAGAAATTCAGGGCGAGCAGCTTGAGGTAGGAGGAAAAATGCGTTAATTAACAAAGCGCCAGATCAACTTTAGAGTAGCAGCAAGCGAGACTGAGTGCCTAATCAAATGCACTATTTTTCTACTTCTACTTCAAGGCGATTTCATGTGGGGTGGGAAGACTAGGCGGTAGGTGTCACGAAGATATCGAATGACGACAATTTAATTTGCAAGAAGTTAAAAAATACAATGATGGGGAAATGATGCAGTCTAACGAAATCACTCGTACCATTTATGGCCTGGGAAATTATTTCTCGGGGAGGGGGGGGGAAGTACAGCAGGGGTGCTAACTCATGAAATGTTAATCAAAATTCTGAAATACGTTTTCGTACCGAAATATTACTTAAGTAGCGTTACGAAATTTATCATCGCGCAGTACAATTCTATGATGATTCGGTTACCACGGGAGACCGGCTTTCTAACAGACTCTTTCCGGCTGCATGCAAATACCATACTTTGTAAAAATGACTATTCAGGCAGCATGATTTTTTTCATTGATTTTCGATACCCTTAAAAATTTAATTATATTTCATGGAAAACATGCATAAAAAAGCCATTCCTTTGCTCATTCGGTTGGAAATGATGTCTTCTTCCAATTTTATACTCGAATTCCAATTCCTGAATAAGTTTGAACCCGACCTGTCGTTGCACTTGAATTCAGGGTTTCCAAAACACAAGCTCTATATTTTCCGCGTATGCAAAACCATACATTTCTCTACGGTATAAAGAGGAGACTATATGGGGTTCATAATATTTAGGAGTTGATTTAAGCCCTATTGATAACTTTACAAGCCACACTGGTAAATGAAAAGACGCGATGTTTCATGAACGGCCATTTCGCAGTTTTAAAAAAATCTCACCGATATAAACTTTCCTAAAACCGAATAATACCCTTCTTTCGAGTGTACAGTTGTCCCTAAGGTAAAACGGGGACGAGTGAATCCCGTAAAACGATCAGTGAGAGCCCTTGTATATTCCCGATCGCGACCGACAGGACAACGAGCCAATGGTTCAGTGGTTAGAGGCGTTACGCTTCTAAGCAATAGGTCGCGAGGTGGCGTCCCAGGTGTTCCACACTTCGGCGTTGGGTACGACTGACTGACGATGGCTAATAAGCCAGGAGTGGCCATTCCAATCTCCCTTGTCTTTGTCAACAATGCTATGCTGAACACAGTCTTGCCTGTGGGCAGTTTCGTCCCTTAACGAAAACTTTCTCTCATCACTGCTACATAACACTTTTTGTCTAGCTTGGAGACTGTCACGTTCAAACATCGCAGTCACTGTGTACCAAACTAATCCAAACAGGAAATCTGGACAGCGGAGTAGATAGGGCGCCTGTCTTTCTCTCTGCCAATTTTGTCCGCGGTCAACTCCCCGCAGTCATTCTGGACGATTCTGACAGAAAATTAAACGTCCGAAGCTTCTCCGGACAGTTGACTGATTCCCTTTTGCGTTGTCGAGCTGATTCGGCTGACTTCCGAAGCAACACTTCGTGTCGCATCGTTCGCATTCAGGCCCGCAAAAACTGCCACAACGGATGTTCACTTTAAATTGCACTTGGCAAATGCCTCCACGGTCAGAAAGCAGGAACAGTACACAGCTCGCAACAAAGGTGCGTTTGATTAAAGTGCAGGCGTGCGCAGCATCTGGGAAAAGTATTTTGCCGAGATAAGGTCATTTGGTAGCGTTATTTAAGTGAAAGTGGCATTTGCAGCACAGAGGGCAGCCTGCCTGTCGACAGGACAAACTGCCAATTAGTGTTTAAAATATGGCGTTCTGGGATGCTGCAGGAACTAGCTGTCTTCCAATAAGGTCTCGCTTCTAAACCCAGCTTGTGACCGCGTGGTGAAACCCAGTTTTTAGGGAGGACAAATTGACGTCCGGGTGTGCGCAGGAAACAGTGTTGTCTAAGCTCATTTTAACTTTATTTAGAATTCCCATCTGCTGAGGTTATAGTTAGATGAGGTTTTACGGAGGTTGCTTGTATTTTTTTTTCGCAATACAAGTCATGGGTGTACGGAGTCCGTCAACCAGAAAGAGTGCACTCTGTGATGGACCGGAACTACCGACTACTTAAGTGCTGGGAGATACCTGAAAGCGCCGTCGATAGAGCAACATTTGGGACTCCCATATTTTCTACTCACAAGATGAGCCTGGATTTAAAATGCACTGCAGACAGTTATGAGGTTGGGCCTTCTAGTCATTTCGCATTAAACCGCTCTGACTGTCATAAAGGTTCGCTCAAATACCATGCCTTGATAGTTTCCCATCTCACCCTCGCCTAAGTACTTAAAACGTCAAAATTAGCAGCATAATAACATTGCGGACAAAAACAAGATAGATTGGAATGGACATTTCTGGCCCGCTAACCGTCACTGGCTGGCCCAACTCAACCCCTAGGTATGCGACTGCAGGGCTCAAACTCATGGCGAGTGAGTTCCCTAACTCGGCCGTTCAAAGTCCCTCTACCGTCGGTAATATACCCGACCGCAGCGGACAGGACAATGAACCCGTGGCTCAGTGGTTAGGGGGCTGGACTTCCAACCAACAGGTCGCGGTGTCGGGCCACAGGGGTCGCAAGACCTAGGGTTGAGTATGGTTGGCTGGTAACGGTTAAAAAGCTAGAAACGACCATCCCAGTCTCCTTTGTCTTTGTGAACAGTGTTATTCTGCCTATTTCGCACCCCCCCCCAAACGGACCATGTGGTAGATGCGTCGGGCCAATACCGGGGCCATATCGGACTCTGACAGGCGTTTTCGCATTGCATACCATAAAGAATGCTAACATTTCGGGGTGCAGTGGCAAACCCGGTTGCCGGCAGCCATCCCGTACACCGGACCCCTGTCGCCCACAATTGTTGTTGTTGTTGTTGTTGTTGTTGGTGGTGGTGGTGGTGGTGGTGGTGGTGATGGTGGTGGTGGTGGTGGTGGTGGTGGTGGTGGTGGTGGTGGTGGTGGTGGTGGTGGTGGTGGTGGTGGTCATAAACCCGGTCATTTGCTGTATGGACCAGGGGGTGTGGAGAGAAACGCTAAAGTGCGAGCTCGACCGTGCCATCCACCTGCGCCCTCCCCCGCCTCCGGTCTTCTGGACTATGTCTTGCCGCCGAGTCCAGGTTGGGGAGGAGGAGGGAGTGCGGTAGATGCTGCGCAAGTCCACATTCACTGTAAACAAAATCACGTACGAGTCACCGTCCCTGCTCTCCCCTTGCTGTGGAGCATACGGTGGACATCGCCGGCAACTACAGTCAAACTGTCGCATTCTGCCTACATTACCCACCTCTGTGCTGTTGCCGGCGGGGCTCAAGAGAGAGATAGCCCCAAGACACAACGAGAAAAGTGAGTTCCGCAACGCGATTGGTGCACACCCGTCTATCATAATTAGCAGTCTCGTAAACTCGGTTTGCTCGCTGTCATGAAGGAGAGTAAGCACTCTGTAGATATGAAGATAAAAAATGAGAAGTATTTGATGCTCTGCACTAGCTCCGGCGCTGCGCGATGTATTAGCATTCGAAGATGTTTGATCTAGTCGATACATGCAAAACAGAGATTTCATATAATGATAGGACTTTGGCCGATCAGGTTACTAGACATAAGCCCCCGTTGCGTCTTAGGGCTCATTTTGACGTCCTCGCAGTCAGTCGCATAGCAGTCAGTCGCATTGGGGAAAGGAATGCCGAGGAAGATAAGAAAGATTGGGATGATCTTTTCTGGCCTAATAGCCGTTTTTTTAAAAATAAAATCTGGCATAAATTTTGCATCGAATTTACTGACGATTGTTCGTGAAGTCGACAAATGAAGTTTGCAGCCGGTGCTAACTTTTTTGCGTATACGTCCTTATCCATGGTGAATGGATGACGTCCTTTGGTGAAAATTTTGGCATAATATTTTTGAGACAAAACGTATTTTTTTCTCTCACTCTCTCTCTTTCTCCCAGCCAGTCATTCCCAACTTCTCGCACCACAATTAATATTCTCGATTGCGATCGACAAGACAGCGGACCTGTGGCTCAGTGGCAGAGCGTTGGACTTAAAAACGCTCAAGGTTAAAGAATTCAGGGTTAGAATTCCGGGGTTGGGAATGACTGCCTGACGACAGTTATTAAGGCAAACATTATCACTCCAGTCCTATTCGACTTTATCGATATTTTTTCCTGAATGGGAGTTCCGTAAACAAACCGAGAAGAGGCCTTTTCTATCGCTTAGATGAGTGCTGAAGTTCTGGAGTCATGCTGGAAAGCACTAACAGAAACAGAATTGTGATAAAACACGAAGGCCGCATTATTTGCCGATGATTTCTGATGGTTTCGTAAGTGGGCAGTTGCATTCTGGCCCCACTCGGAATCGCGGGGTCGCAGACAGAAAACGACGGTTGGACCGTCGTTACCGACGATGTCTACCGAATGCCCCAGAGCAGGGTGAGGGCAGAGACGGCGACATGTGCGCCAGTTAGCTTGCAGTGATAACAGACTTGCACAGCATCTACTGCACTCCCTCCTCCTCATTCTTCACCTAGGCCCGATTTCAAGACAGAGTCAGAAAAACCGGAAACGGAAAGGGGTATAAAGGGGTGTAGATTACTGTCCCGACGTAAACCCGCACCTAGGCGTGCCACCATACCTCCTGGTCCACAACGGACACGGACTGGAATTTTATACAACCGCAGAAAAAGGGAGAGCGACTCGGATCACAATTAGCACAGTTTGAGCCTGCACCTGGGTCCGCCAACACACAATGGTGGCATTTGTTATGGATGAGCATTCCCAGTAATGCCTACCGGACTCCGATCTAGCCCCTAAGTTGGTTCAGCGCATCCACCGCGTGGCCCGTTTTAGGGACAAAACGGACAGGATGCAAACAAACATTCAACGCCAAACGATGCGACCGATTTGTCTACCGTATCTGGTGGAGCAACTACGTCGAAGAAGCGAGAAAACCAAATTGGGGAGAGGGAAATGACGTTAACTCTCAAGTCGTGGATCAGCAGACACGATCCGACCACACCTTCAGCCTCGACTAGGTCAAAATTCTGGACATAGACGACAACTGCGGGGGTCACGAGGGTGTTAGACTGGGCCCAAGGGGAGCACGGCCTGTAGCCGGATCGGTAAAGACCTTTCCCATGATAGTTTATATTCCTGATCACAACTGAAAGGACTGTTGTTACAGCGTCAGACCCGGGTCTGAACCTAGGTTTGGGCCATGACTAATAATAACCAGGTCAACCCGGTTTCACTTGTCTTTGTCGGGTCTCCTTTCAACATATATTGCTGGTCGCTACGCGGCTGCCTGCCATGGCGCTCGACGGAGCTCCAGAGTGCGATGGGAAGAACATGCCCCGTACCCTGATTGGACAGCGTCCCTCCACCATATAGGAACTCTCGGTTTTTTAACGTATCGATTGGAACAAACAGCGTTAAGTGTAAACAAATCGCGGTTGGTATAGACTAGGCACTTCCAGATCGAGGGAGTGTGTTGTTGGAGAGCATCGCGTACTTAAAATTCGAAATCTTCCTGATCGCAGGTGATCAATTAAATGCGGCGACTCCCATTGGGGGTTAAGATACAGCTTGGCAGAGTACGTATTGACGTGGACGAGGCGCAGATGGGCCTCTGCAAGATATTCATTTTGCCAGCCACCAGCACTAGCGAGGAGGACACGATAATTATCAACTCGAATGTGGTCAGCCAGTCCATTATCGCGCCAGTTAAAATACTCGTGAACGATTGGCGGTCGTTTACTCGCAGTAGGCCTCCGACAACAGAGCAACCGTACCTCCTCCCTACCCCCCTGTGCTCTTTAATAACGAATAGGAGGTTAAATCCAAGATGTCAGGTTAGGAAAGTTCTCCTGGCAAACTTGAGTAAATTTAAGGCCCATTCCACTGTACCTTATTTCGTTCGCTGTACTGTCTTCGTCGTCCCCCTCTAAACTCTCCCTGTGCTTGCATGACAATTTGATCGTCTCAAGTGACGTGGTCCATCACCCGCCCCACGGAGTAGTCGTAGCAACGGTGACTTGCTGGTTAATTAGTTTATACTGGGACGGACGTACGCAGTAGCTACAGCACTTTCTCCTCCCTCACCCATAGCAAAGCAGTGAAAAGACGACTAAAACTGGACGCCAGCGCAATGGCTGACAAGGTCGCGCAGCCCGTCTACGCGTGCCACACACGACCCCATTTCAAGTACATGTACCAGGCTACCGTGAAAGCGCCTCGAATCTGGCGTGCGTTAGAGTGTCATTAGGGCAGCACTAAGAGGGAGTCCTTGGCAGTTTGTTTCTCGGCCCTCCAGTCACTTCAAAAGATTTCCATGGGGACGGGCTTATCCCGTCAGGTGACAACCTTCCAAGACCTGCATAACACCGGTTGAAACTCATTATTCTCTGTTTGGTGCCCGGTCCTCAAATTAAGTACGAAAGCTGGCTGTCCACTGACTACATCTGAAAATATGTTCGTAAGTCAAAAAGTAAGCAGTGGAAACATGCAATTTGCGCTTGCAAGGCTATCATGCTGGAGCCAGATCTTTCCTAGCTTCTCCTAGTGTCGCTGAATGTGTTACTAGTGTGAGAATACTGTGAATCACCTCTTTGTGGTCTGCTTGTAGACATTTGTATATGCGGTCCTCACTATCCACCGGCCGCATTGCTCGATTTCTTGCCCTGCTTGTGGTATCTTTCGGCAAAGTCTTCTCCGAACAGGGCGCGCCTGATAAGGAGGAGGAGGAGGAGGGGGAGTGGGAGG